TGTTAATAAAAGTGTATAGACTTTATTACAAAGAAATATAAAAATTTCCTTGGAACATCTGTTTTTGTGTTGGCAAGAGAATTAGCAGAAAGAGTTTTAATAATAATAATATATTTTAATACAAAAATAACTTTATTTAAAAGATACTTGATATATAGCTTATTATCAATAAAAATATATATTGTCATATAATTGCTTTTTTTAAAAATATATATTATTTTTTTTTTTAATTATTTTTTTTAATTATTATTATTATTATTATTATTATTTATAAGGCTAAGTACAATATATGTATAGTTTTTATTAATCAATTAAAATTAAGTTATTTCAATTATATGAATAATCTATTAATTAATATTAATTAACTGATACCATTTATTTTATTTTATCAAGATACTAATCTATATTTTGTAAATATATTTATATTTTAGTTTATGCTTATGTATAATCTTAATTTTTAATATATTATTTTTTACTAGGTTTTTTATTATATTTCTATTTATAGCTTATATAGTTATAAGGCTTGTAGTCTTACTTTTTAATACTTCCTAGCAAATGCTTCAAGAGTTGTTTCTATAGTTGACACAAACTATCAAATTTGGAAGTTAGATAATCAAATAAGACGTAACTTCTAAATTTTTCAATAAATATTTTATAAGCTCTTAGTTGACTTAGATTGCTAAATTTAAGAATACATATATTAAGCAATATGCAACTTCTATTAATTTGCTTAACATTATTCATATATTTATATTTCTGCAATAATTTTTTTTAAAATAGTCTAATTTGATTAATATGCTTTTTAATATGAAGTCTGTTATTAAAGATGGATTCTTAAATTAAAGGTGAGAATATAATTTAAATGTTTTTCACTATTAAAAAGTTTTTTTTTAAATATAAGATTAAAAAAAAACCACCTATAAAAGTTTTTTACAATTTAGGTTACTTGATTCAAGTATTTTTTAAATTATATTCTTATTAAAGTAATGAATAAATAATTATATCTCTTTTGAAGAGATATAATTGATCTGTGAAATTTTATATGTTAAATAATTTAAGGACCCATTCTTATCTGCCATGTCAAAAAAGGATGTAGACTTATTATGAAAATTAAACCAGAAGCCTTCCTTATGCAACCTTCCTTATTTTAATCTGTTTTTAACCTGCGATTATCGGAAAGACCAAAGATTTCATCTTTATATAGTCTAATTGAATTTGAAAATGATTTGAATGTTTAAGTATGACATATGTAGGAAAATCAGTAAATCTATTATGAAGAATAAAGTTTATACAATTTATTCTTTGGGAATATTGAACTAAAAACATGCCTTTATTTTTTTTCATATTATATTATTTATTTATTTAAAAAAATTTTTTTATATTTTTTTAAAACATATTTACTTTTAATATGCCAGTATTTATATTTATTTATCTATTAATTTATTATCTTTTTTAAATCAATATTATTATTTATAACTTTGTTGAATTGTTTTTTAAAAAATTTCTTGATTATCTTTGAAATGAATTTTTTTGAATTATGTATTTTTAGATTTTTTACATGATTATTTAAGTAACTTACCAAATTGTATAACAATAATGATCCCAGAGTTTCATTATGAATTGTATATTAAACTTTGCTATTATTGCAGGATCAAAAACAATAAAGTATACAATTATTGTTTATCCGTGCGATTTCCTGAATCTCTCGACCAAGGTCGGAAGCAAAAGAAGTAACGTGACCCGTAGGAAAGTATGTACGTACACAAGACTTCAGATGAAGCTACAGCGAGGAATCATCCATCGTCAAAACAAAAAAAAACTTCGGGATACAATCGTTTGTCAAGGAGGACTTCATTCTCCACTTTCTTTGTTAAACGACCTGTTTGGGCAAAGTCACCGGACAAAATGACTTCATTGTTCGTCGATGATACTTTTTTTTTACGTTGTGTACCATATTACAACTCCATCATTGGTTCACAATAGGCCGAATATTTCTATAAGAGACTATTCGTGTAACAATCTGCAGTTTGGGGTTGAAAAAAAAACCCTGTTGCGTCAATTTAATCAGTCTGTATCACTAATGTTTCGCCCCCAAATTCCCTTTTCTCGACTTTTACGCCTAATCATTCAATCATTCATAAATTCTTAGCTGATAGTTGCGGGAATTCATTTTTCTATTTCTCAAAAATCCACATAATCCATAATATTAGTTACCGTTCACCTTTCCGAACGTTATTTCTGCTCTCAAACTATTATTAGCACTCACACTGCTACCTCGGAGACAACTCACAATATATAAAGGTAAGTTTATATATAATATATATATATATATATATATACACTTGAAAAAAACACCCTTTATCAGACAAGTTTTTTCACACACCTACATAAAAAAATTTTTTGTTCTTCATTTTTCTATATTCAGCTATTTCAGTTATACCAACAACTTAAGACTTGATATACGTAGTGAGGAAAAAAAAATTAAGTTCTCATTACTGAAAACAGGTAAAGCAACTAAAAAATATATATTATATGGTTCCTATTGTAAAAAATTAACAACTATATAAAACTCCGGCACAGTCACCTTACAGTAATTTTTCTCACTACTTGTTTTTTTCCGTCCCTTCCATATTTTTTTACACTCTCGTCCCCGCCCCCTTACTAAAATAAAGCTTTAAAGATTGAAATCTAAACCCCCAAGGGCTCTATAAATAGGATGCCAATGCACATGCAGACCATGCAAAGTGTCCACCAGCAACAGCAACAGCAACAGCCAACACAGCAACAACCTCCTCCTCAGGTTCAACAGCAGCCACTTCAGGCTCAGCAGCAAGCCTCTCAAAATCAACCACAACAGAATCAACAATTACCAGCTCAATCACAAGTCGAATCAAATCAAAGAAACGACATGCAACCTAAATTGTTTAACGCCTATGTATATGATTTTTTAAAACGTAGCGGGGCGAGAGAGACAGCTCGTGTTTATCTAAAAGAAGCAGACATTCAAGGTTTCATAAAAAACGACAATACAAATTTAATAAATGGAGGAGGAAATTCAGGTTCAGATAATGATGCAGACTTACCCAATGTAGAAGTGCCTATCAAAGCACCTGAAGGCTTTTTATATGAATGGTGGACGGTGTTTTGGGATATTTATAGTGCAAAATTGAATCGTCCGGGAAGCGAGAACGCGCGTCGTTATATAGAACAGCAGCAGGTAAAAACTTATTACAACCACTAAAAGAGGCTCGTTTGATGATTCTTATTTTTTATTTTTTATGATTTATAGCAAAGGAACAGAATACCGCGTCGAGTGCACGAACCGCTAGGTCAGTTACCAATGCTTGGTGGATATTCGCATATGGTTGGACAAAATGGTCAACAGCAAATTGTTCAGCAGCAGCAACAATTACAAAGAATGGCTCAAGCGGCCCAAGCAGCTCAAGTTCAAGCTCAAGTTCAAGCCCAAGTTCAAGCTCAAGTTCAAGCTCAAGTTCAGGCCCAACATCAACAACAACAACAGCAGCAACAGCAACAGCAACAGCAACAACAACAACAACAGCAACAACAACAATCAACTCAACAAACGCAACAGCAACAACAATTACAATCTCAACAACCGCCGCAACAACCACAACAACCACAGCAACAATCACCAGCTCCACATCCACAGGTAGCACATCATCAGCAAGGACAGTTGGTTCGTCAGCCTATGCAAAATGGCACACTACAGCTTAACGTAGATGCCAACCCAAACGGGGATGGTATTATGATGAGTCCCCAACAACGGGTTAATCCAGCCAACTTGATGAAGATCAATAATGTATCCAACCCCTTATTGCGTGGAGGAAGGATGCCACCGTAAGTTTCTCCTGATCATACTAATGTTATTGCATTGGTGAAAAGCTATTTCAATTAATTATTGTTTTTACGATTTTTAAATAAGTGGTACCATTGTGAATACAATAAATGGCCGAACGATGTTATTACAACAACAACCAGGGCAACATGCAATAAGTCAGAATGTAGCGGCAGCACAGGCTGCCCAAGTTCAAAACTCCCAGCAGCAGGTCCAAGCCTCTGCCAATTCCGTAATGATGCGTGATACTCAGCAACCAACAGTGGTGGGCAACGTTCAACATTTGGCCCAGCAAGGTCAACAACAGGTAAGAAAATTTTTTTCTTATTGTTATGGACTTAATGCTGATAACCATTATCCAATAGGTCAGTTCATCATTAAAACGAAATAACGTTAACGTTGAGGGTATGACACAACCCCAGGCATCCCCAAGCAAGCGAGCAAGAACTTTGGATGCCAATAGCTTTTTAGGCAAGTTATATAATACAAATATTGAATCATTCATTAGCGGATGTCTTATGATCGATCGGTTTAATTTTTTATAGGTGCCACGCAATTCACGACGACGCAACAAAGACAACAGCCGAACCAGCAACAATTGGCTGTTGGTCAAAATATGACGCAAAACAATTTGGTGTTAACTACGGTATGTTAATTATAATTCGGCCACCGAGAGATTGTATGTTTATCAGTAATTGTCGATCAAAGATTCATTAATCATCTCAACAGCCTATCAACACTATGGCTTCTTCATCTTCCCCGGATATGAACTCGAAAAATCGTCAGACCCCCATTATTAATGGGAAAAAGAACCCGTTAAATCCACAGCAAATTCAACTTCGGCAACAACAACAACAACAACAACAACAACAACAACATAATAACATTAATATTAATCAAAACAAATCAATTTCACCACACGGTAATCAGCAATTGACCCCGAATGATATGCAAGACACGAATCTTATTAATCAAATTACAAATCTTAATGCACCGCATGATGCAAATGCGAAGATTCAGACCAACGTTCTTGGAGGACAAATTATCAATATGAACATGGTTCGTCCGCCGGGCGTTAATATTAATTACGGTAGCATGGTCGGATCAGTTCCATACGCAACAGCAAACGTATTGTTACAAAATCGACCGATGAGACCTGCTGCAATTGACAAGGTGATGCCAAACTTACTGCTTAATGAGCAAACTGAAATTGAAAAATTTAAACAGGTTTGCCATTGCGATCGGTATTCTTTATTATTACTATTACCAGAGGTTTTAACGTAAAAAACATATATACCTTTTTGAAATTTAAAATAGCGCGGCATAAATCTTCAAAATATTCAAAATATCCAAAACATTCACCCGATTCATTTGGCATCACTTCATAATCAACTACAACGTAATCAAGTCGCCCAACAAAACCAGCTTCACGCCAACCAAGTCGCACAAGCACAAGCTCAACAGGTTGCCGCCAATAATCAACATGCAGCACAACAGAAAGCAAGAAATGACAATAACAAGGGGGCTAAGGTGAACATTGAAAAATTTGTGATTAAAAAATTTGTTACATCTGTTTAACGTTTCGTATCGTGTGTTTATTTCAGAATAACGCAAAAACGACACCAACCCAACAGCAAGCACAGCCACCCAACATAGGAACACAAATGAGCAATGCCCAAGTACTTCAGAACCAACAGAATGCAAACACATCGGGAATTATGGGATCGACGGATAATACTCTGAACGTGGAGTTAGATGAGGTAGACAAGAATTTCCCCCCCAAAAAAAATTGTCTATACGTAAATAAAACATCAACTCATTGTGTGACTCTATTTTATATAGGTCGTTAGCTTTGCCAATAATCTCGATCTTCAAATCGATGACCTAGGTGTCAATTTTGATAGCTCTGCATTTGGCACGGGTAATCCCGATTGTGATCTTGACCAGTATATCAATTGTGACATGTTCAATGATCTTGGTACAGGTGGTCCAAGTTCATCAAGCAACGGCAGCTAAACACCTCTTAGTCATGTATTTATTGATTGATGACAAGAACATTTTTTTCCCTCTTTGTAATATATCGTTTTTATCGTTTTTTTCTTTTATTTTTTTGGCATGTGGGGTAGTTTTATTTTACAAAAAAAAAAAAACTTGATACTCAAAGAGAGTTTAGAAAACGGTAGCTTGAGATTCTAGAATTATTTGAACTTATTGCATGAGTATCGCCTTTTTTTCATTTATCAATCTCACATTGATAGATTAAGATATGAATTCCATTAGCAGAATAAGTATATATAAATTTATAACATTTTTTCTTTTTATTAGTGATATCGGGATTTCCGCGTAATACTCGGAACAATCTCGTATATCTTATGCTTTTTTTTTCTTTTTTTTTTTTTTTTTTTTTAGAATTTATTTCTGTCGCATTTCCTTTTAAGTTGCATGTTTCTTTGTACAGTAATGTTCTGTAACGAAAATTATTCCCCAACCCTTTTAACCCTTTTCTCTCCCATAAACCTTTTTAAAAGTAGTATAAAATAGTAATGAAAAATTTTCTTTTTTCTGTTTAAAATACTAATAATTTTTTTTTTCTCGCGATCGGAAAATGATATTAATGGATGTATATTTATTAAGATAATCAAATATACCTTAATTATGCTTTTCTTTTTGGAATGAATATCAATTAATTAAAGGTGTGCCTAAAAAAATATTTTTTTTTCTTTTTTTACAAATACGCGCGCACGCATTGATCAAACGAACAGATTCATCGATAGGCGACTGGCTCAATTCACTTCTTAAACAACTGGATTTCTTTTTCAAACGTGAAAAAAGGTGGAAACCGTGTTGATTCACTTTTTCCAATGTTTGCGGATGATTGATCGATTGCTCAATGTTGTGACCTGTACTATTGATTGATCGGAAATATCAATAATGCACTGTCAATTCCTATTTCCGATAATCATTTCGGTATTCATTTATCGAGAACTTGCGATCATAATAGCAATAGCCTCGGACTACATGATTACACAGAAAATCACAATGATCTTCATTACTGCAAATATTACGAATATTAAGAATATTACGAAATATCAAGAACGCAAGTTGGAGTGGAAACTTGACCAAAATAGTGCCTGAATGGACTCATTAATAGAAGTGAGTGATACATTACATAGGCCTATTGTCAAATGATTACCTGAACCTACCTAATCCGGTTAGGATTAGTACGAAGCCATCCCGGAATAAGGTTATAAGGTTCAGAAAAAAGTGAAAACCTATGATTAAGGTTTTTAACAAGCCAATATTATGAGTGTTACTTATCTTTGGCATGATTCAATGTGTGAAGACAGCAATTTACCGTTAATTTAATAGTATGTATTATCCGAAAATGATTTTTTTTTTTTTTTTTTTACATACGTATAACTACTGTATGTATACGTATGTATGCATACAGCCAAACCTTTGATAATTACCTTATTCGCATGGTTGGTGAAGGGATTAACTGTATGGATATCATTTACAAAAAAATTTGGTTTTTTTTTTCTCGTTTATTCAAAATTTGAAGGATGATGCACAATGTTATGCCTAAAGTATATTGTCTCATATATACAATAATTAAAATCCAAATATCTAATGTTACAATAATATCTCGCATAATACAATCAGGAGATCAGGGTTAATAATCAGTAATGTCCCGAAATCTCAATCAGTTGCAAAGCACTTGCAATTGCGTCCGTCGTCTTTTTTGCTCTGAATTGACATTTTCAAACGATCAAACCTGTGTCGACGACGACGACGACGATTCGTTCAATGTACATATAAATTCTACCCTTTAATTTAAACGTGCAATGACGATCAAAAGGATTTTCTTTTTTTAAACATTATACTGTATATACAGTATAATCGATTTCAATTATAACAAGGAATAG